TTGACCCACGCTGAGAGACTCATTTCCACTGACTGTATAGACTTAACCTTTGTGTGCAAAAAACTGTGTGAAAATGACCCCGATCTTCAAGAAAGATTTGAGTTTTCCCACACTCATCCTGCTCCATTCTCATTGGTTGTAGCTGCAGTTGCTGTGAGATCGAAGGGCTAAAGAGCTCATTCTGTCCTAGATGACAGCAGGGTCAAAAAACTAAACGCCACTAGCAGAAAATTGTATCACCCCATGTTAACAGTGTTGTATTTCTTGTTAAAGTAGGCCTCTTCGCTTGACTATCCCAGGAAGGAGTAGTACTTCTTGCTGTCCTCCAAGAGTCTCAGTTTGTGGAGGCAACCTGAGAGAAATGAAGGTTATTTATCAATAACTGGAGGTTTTCTGGTTACGTCTCTGCACAATGACACTCTTTGTCCACCTTCTCTTTCTGGGAGTCCAGGTGGAAGAAACTGAGACAGCAGAGACAGAGAAGAGGAAGCTGTGTATCACATTTGGTGGCCCTAGCTCTTACTGTTTAGGAGGAGACAACATGCCTGTGGCGAGCTGTGGGGAGAGAATACCGTCTTTTAGCGGATATACCTAATGGTTTTTGCCATTTGAGTTTAGAAACCCCTGTATACCCTGCTCACGAGAATAGCCAGCGGGGGCGGGGCTTATTCGGGTGCAGATATACCCCTGCCTGCCCCTGCTCCTGTGCACCATGGCCGCCTGCAGCCTCCCTCTGCTGCTGCTGGCCGCCGAGCCCCGCACCCACAGCTGCTCAAGGTGTGGCAAAGGGGCTATAAGGAGGATTTGCAAGGGGGCGCAGCGGAAATTGCAAGTGGGTTGCCAGGGGGCGCGGGCGATTTGCAGCTATCTGCGGCGCAGGCCACCCGCCGCCCGGAACCGGGCTCTGGGCTCCTTCCCTTTGTCAGCCCGGGCTGGGAGCTTCCTGCCTTGAGCCTCTGCCCCGGCTCTGGAGCGTTCCCGGAGAGACTTTGCCCCCCACTTCTTCTGGGAGAGCCATGCTGGGAAAAAGTTACGGGGATGCACTCCCCCCC